CTTGTATTCAAGTACAGACATTGAGGTGAATATTCCAAAATACACATAACTTAATAAATCATGAACATGCGTTATTATAATTTATAAATATAAATGGTGTTTTACTTCGCTTTTTTTAAGGACATTTTGGGAAAAGCTCAAGCTCTCTCTCCACGTGCCCTAATCATAGATTCAATCCAAACTGTTCAGCTAATGGGAGTTACTGGAAGTGCTGGAGGTATCTACCAGGTAAACCTTTTTCTATTTCATTAACCTCAAAAAAACATCCATTTTGTTACATATGATGACGTGGCATTGTATTAACCGAATGTTGTATAGGTTAAAGAATGTACAGCAGCCTTGTTGCGTTTTGCTAAGAAGACTGATATACCTGTATTCTTGGTGAGTATAAAGTATGAACTAAAAAAATGGCAATTAATCTTTTAGAAAAGTATATTCTGATGAATTATTGTAAATGTTTTTGGATTTGTGTCAGATTGGTCATGTAACAAAGTCAGGAGATATAGCTGGACCTCGTGTTTTGGAACATATTGTTGATGCAGTTTTATATATGGAAGTTGGTACCTTTTTAAAAAAAAAAAAAAAATAATTCTTGGGTTTTTAATTGTTTAGTAATTATTTTTTATCTTATGCTATTTTATTATAATATGAAGGGGGAACAATATTCATCTCATCGTTTGCTTCGTGCGTTCAAGAATCGTTTTGGATCAACTGATGAGGTATTATTCATCATGTTAATTCTATTCCCTTTTTTTAAACTTTTTTTTTTGGAATTGAAAAACTGTTTTTTAATTTTATTTTTTCAGCTGGGAGTGTTTGAAATGTCGCCATGTGGACTAAAAGCTGTAACGAATCCAAGTGAGATTTTCTTGAGTGAAGAACACTCAGATTCAGAGTTCTTAGCAGGTCTTGCAATTGCTGTAATTATGGATGGATCTCGCACATTTGTCATTGAAATCCAGGTTTGTTTAATGAGCTTAATAGGTTAAGCACTTAAATTTGATGAAAATTGTTTTTTTCGGAATGTATTGGTTAAATGGTTATTTGGTCTAGAAGAGAAACAGACGTTATGTATACAAGACTTTATTCAGACAAATGATTACCCTTGTAGCCACTCTACCTATACATGACTTAAAAATAATATCTAAACGCTCCAGTGAAAAAAGTAATCTTTGGTTAAAAATTTTCCAAAAAAAAAAAAAGAACTTTTTGTGTTTATTTTTGGACAAATAGTGAGAAATTGGTTTTCAGGCTCTATGTGCAGCAGGGAACTCGCTTTCAAGGCAAGTGAATGGGGTTCAAGCAGGGAGAGCAGATATGATTATTTCTGTAAGTAATCATTAAATTTTGAGTAAATTACACTTTTGGTCCCTGGGTATAGCTGAAATTTGCAATTTTGGTCCGTGTTTGTGGTTCTTGTAACGTTTTTTGTTCCTTTCCATGTAAAATGACTATTTTTGGGACCAAAATTGCAAAAACCAGCTATACCCAAGGACCGGAAGTAGTCATTTGACTTGGTAAGGGACAAAAAACGTTACAAGAACCACAAACACGGACCAAAATTGCAAAATTCAGCTATACCCAGGGACCAAAAGTGTAATTTATTCTTTACATATTTTTCCCCTATATCTAATAAAAATTGTTATATCTTGTAGGTTCTTATGAAGCAAGCAGGTCTTAAGCTCCAATCAAATGTAAGTCCTATTTCCTTCAATAATATTACTTTAAGAAAAACATTTTATTTATTATTTTTTTTTTGTGGATCGGTTTACAGGCAATCTTCTTAAATGTTGTTAGCGGGGCTACTCTAACAGAAACCGCTGGAGATTTAGCAGTTGCAGCAGCAATTTGTAGCAGGCAATATCTTTAAAATTAGAATAAATTACATTTTTGGTCCCTGAGTATAACTGTTTTTTGCAGTTTTGGTCCGAAAAAGTTCTCTTGCAATCTTGATCCTTATTTGAAATTCTTTAATTTTTTGGCCTCTGTTGCAAGTAAAGTGACTGACTATTTTTAAGTATAAGTAACATATTCAATTTTGGTCCCTGTTCTTTACATCAGGGACCAAAAACGTTACAAAACTTCAAATAAGGACCAAAATTGCAAGATAACATTTTAGGACCAAAATAGCAAAAGTCCGCTATACTCAGGGACCAAAAATGTAACTTGCTTTTAAAATTATGTTATTGAAGTGTACTATAAATTTATAAGATTCATTTGTTTCATGATCTCCAGTTTTCTTGAGTTTCCAATTCCTAACAACGTGGCATTCATTGGAGAAATTGGGCTTGGTGGTGAGCTTCGCATGGTGCCAAAAATGGAGAAGAGGGTGAGTACAGTGGCAAAATTGGGGTATAAAAAATGTGTTGTGCCAAAATTGGCAGAAAAATCTTTGGAAGGGTTAGATTTTGGAGAAATTGAGATTTTGGCGTGTAAAAATCTCAAAGAAGTTATTAACACTGTGTTTGTAGCAGATGGTTAAGGGCTTCAAATGCTGTGTGTTTGTACAGTGCTACTTCATTAAGAAAATTGTATTTCATCTTTTGTTCATTAGTTATATTTTGTAGTCTTTTGTAGAAAATTAGTTGTTATCATAAAAGTATAATCATATTAAGAAATGTAAATTATATATAAAACTATTCACTAAAATTAATATACTTGGAAGTCAAGTATCATATTTCATCTTTTGATAAGAAATTGACCACAAGTGTTGTACCATTTTCCAATAAAACGAACGCTTTCCCCCCCTAAAATGGTGACCCTTAGCATGTTAAATTACTTTGTTACTAACATTTACCATTACTAATTGGCAAGCTTTTCAAAATTGTATAACTTTGAAACAAGAAACGGTGGGGATGCATTTTAGGAGAAAACATGTTTATGCCAGTTATGACCACTCAATGGAATAAGTTGTGTGGATGGATTTGCTATACTCTTATTTTTTTTAACCAATATAGTGAATCGTATGTTTAGTAGTGTCATGTTTATGAAAGGATACACATATAACATAAATGCAATGAATGGAAGAAAAATGTATCAATATATAACTTATACTACTCCTTTGCCTTATAATGAGATGAGAAGACCTAGGATGACACCACATCTTTAGCTTGTGCGGAGTGGCCTCAGTAAGACTTAACAAAAGCCGATGTGTTCAACTGGGCCACCAACTTGGCATGCCAAGTTTGGTGGCCAAACTCAGTAACTTCTAGCTGATGAGAGATGAGAGAGTGTGTGAGATAATTCCCATTTTCAAAAATGTATATGTTTTTAACCCATTTTTTGACTTTTTTTTTTTTTCAATAAAATTCAAAATTTACCTTTCTTTTCAACCTATATAAATACCACTCACTGCCATATTTTATACCAAACTACATTTTTCCATTTTTCACTCAAATAATCTTCATATTTGTAAAAAAATGCCCCCTCCATTCCAACCCAATAACTGCAAAAAGTAGCAAAAAAAATAAAAATAAATAAACACTCACAACACAAACCCAATCTCATCAGCATCACATACCTTCATCCAAAATCAAAATGATCGTCATATATTATTCACCTTTAAATTTCCACTATCTCGATGCATACTACCCATATCCTATCCAAACCCAACCACAATTCCAAACTCAACCCTATTCTAAACTCAATCTCAATCACAACCTCAAATGCAATTCCAATATCAAGTTACTCCCAGCCGGAGAATGACTTCAATCTATTTGATCATCTTCTCGACTCGCCAATCTAATTCCAATCCTAATCGTAAATCCATTCCAATTCCAAACTCACTCACAACACGAAGTCGTACCCGAAACGGATTCCGAGCTGGAAGCGATTCGACCTGAACCCAAGAAAAAAAGGAAAGGCACCTCCCAAACAATGGACAATGGAGGATAAACATCGTTGACTCGTGCGTGGGTAGATGTTTTAGAAGATTCGAGGGCCAGGAAAAACCAATATTCGCCAACTTTTTACTAGGTGTTTTCTCACAGAAATAAATTGTGGAGACTATAGACATAAATATCAAATTTACTCAAAGTGGAGGAACACAAACAAAGTTGTCATGGAGTTTAATTCAATATTTTCGAGTGTGAAGTGACAATGACAAAGTGGTGCAAATGATGAAGCAATCTTGCAAAAAGCTCTTGCACTTTACCGGATTCAGAAAGGAACAATTTTCAAATTTCTTCATGTTTAGAATGTGGTGAAGATTCGAAAAAGTGGCAAGATATCGAACATTCGGAAACATTCACAGGTGGTTCTTTTAAAAGAACCAAAACACGGAAACAACTCATAGTCGATGTACATGTCGGGATTGACTTAAACGAAAATGAGCCTATTGGTGTTCCAAGAGCCACTCTTCCCATGAGAAGAAACCAAGCTAAGCGAAAGGGTAAAAGGGTGACAAGTGGTTCGGGAGACATCGATGATCTAACAACCCAAATGGACAACTTGAAGTTGACGTTGGAGCAATACTTGGTTATCGCAAAAAAAAACCGTGCCATGATAATTTCAACAAAAAATACTAATAATTTTACCGTATGTGAAAAAAAAAAATAGTGTTAAGGACAAAAAAGCTGTAGCCTAAGGCTGTGTTTGGCGCGCCGCAGCTAGCTGATAAACTAACTTATTTTTCGAGATTTTTTATGTTGTCGTGTTTGGTAAACTAAAAAAGTACCTTATAAGCTAGCTTTTTAAAAAATTACTTAAACTAGCTTTTTAGGAGCTCTTTTAAAAATTTTAAAATACACTTCTTAATTAATTATAAAAACACATACTCTTACATGTGATTTTATGTAATTTTATATATTTCAGCTAATTTTACAAACGTTATTTTTATCAACTAGCTTTTCAATTATCAAAAAACTTTTTATTTAACATCTTTTTCAGCTACTGGCTAACCTTTTAGCTAATACTCCAAAAATAACCTATGCAATCTTTAAAATTAATTTCACATCAAATAAAAAACCCGCTTAATATTAAGTGTTTGAGCATTTGAGGTACAAAACTCAGAACCCCAATGGGTTTGACTTTAGTGACTTTTTGACTCCCAGTTCAGGGAAGTCGAAATAGTGCGCATTTGAAACCGACCATGAACAATGTCCGGCTCCTCCTCCGCCGTGGCTATGCCACCAAATACAGCGGCAGAGTCATCACCGAAATGGACAACGGCCGTTCATTCGCTGTCGAAGTCCAAGTCCCAAACATCCAACAACTTGACCCCAGAGGCTACCCTCTCCCTCGCCGTGACCTTGTCTGCAAGATCGTCAACATTCTCCAGTCCCGCTCATCAGACCCCTTCATCGAACTATCCGACTACCTGGAAACTCTAACCCTAACCCTCACCGCTTCTGAAGCAGCCGAAATCCTCAAATCGCTCCATTCTACATCTCTTGCACTCCAATTCTTTCGATTTTGCCCCTCTTCTATCCCTAAATTTCGCCACGATTGCTTCACCTACAACCGCATTCTCCTCATCCTCTCCAAGTCTTCCTCCCCTGACCGATTCGACTCTGTCCGTCGTATTATCGACGAGATGGAGCGGTCGCGCGTGCACGGCAACATCTCCACCGTCAACCTTTTGATCGGAATATTCGGCGGCGGTGAAGATTTGGACAGGTGCTTACGGCTGGTTAAAAAATGGGAGCTCAGGATGAATCGCTATACGTATAAATGCCTTCTGCAAGCTCATTTACGCTCTCGTGATTCAAACAAGGGCTTGGAAGTTTATCAAGAGATGAAACGGAAAGGATATCAACCGGATATCTTTGCCTACAATATGCTACTTGATGCTCTTGCCAAAGACGAAAAGGTCCAATTTATGACCATTTTTGTTGCATATTGAAGTTCGTGTTTATTCTAGCTGTTTTTATAGAATTCATCATCTCAACACCCTTCTTAATCCAATTATGTCAGCTATCAAATGTATCATCCTGTTTCACCTCTGGTTTGGTATAATCATGATAACCTGAAATGCAGCATCTTTTCAGGTTGATCAAGCGAACAAGGTTTTTGAAGACATGAAGAAGAAACACTGTGAGCCTGATGAATATACATATACAATTCTAATCAGAATGACTGGAAAACACGGGAAGCTTGATGATGCAATATCACTCTTTCAAGAAATGCTATCAAAGAACCTAGCTCCAAATCTAATTGCCTACAACACTACAATCCAGGTTCTTGCTACAAACCGAATGGTTGACAAAACTATATACCTCTTTTCAAAAATGGTAGAAAACAATTGCTGCCCAAATGAATTCACTTACAGTATCCTCCTCAATGTCTTAGCTTCAGAAGGACAACTTGGTAGACTCGATGAAGTTGTGGAAATATCAAAGAAGTACATGAACAAGAGCATATATGCATATCTTGTACGTACACTTAGTAAATTAGGTCATGCTAGTGAAGCTCATCGCCTCTTTTGCTACATGTGGAGCTTCCATGATAAAGGAGACAGAGATGCTTACTTATCCATGTTAGAGAGTTTATGTAAAGAAGATAAAATGACTGAAGCTATAGACTTATTAAGTAAGATTCATGAAAAGGGGATAAATTCAGATACCATTATGTACAACACTGTGTTCACTGCTCTTGGGAAATCAAAACAGGTATCTCATATTCTTGATTTATATAAAAAGATGAAACAAGAAGGGCCTGAACCAGATATATTCACTTACAATATATTGATTTCAAGCTTTGGGAGAGCTGGAAGAGTTGATGAGGCTATTAAGATCTTTGATGAGCTGGAGAATAGTAACTGTAAGCCTGATATTATATCATATAATTCTTTAATAAATTGTTTAGGGAAAAATGGTGATGTTGATGAAGCTTACATGAGGTGTAAAGAGATGGAAGAGAAGGGTTTGAATCCAGATGTTGTTACATATAGTACATTGATCGAGTGTTTTGGGAAATCAGATAAAGTAGAAATGGCTTGTAGATTGTTTGATGAAATGCTTTCTGAAGGGTGTTGTCCTAATATTGTTACATATAACATATTGTTGGATTGCCTTGAGAGAAGTGGGAGAACTGCTGAAGCTGTTGACTTGTATGCAAAGATTAAAGAACAAGGTTTGACTCCAGATTGGATTACATATTCCATTCTTGAACGTTTACAAAGTGGTTCTCATAGGAGATTTAGAAGCAGGAGGCAAAATCCAATTACTGGATGGGTTGTTAGTCCTTTAAGGTGATGATTGGATTATGAAGATGAAGTCTGAATGCTGAAGTTTGGAATTTGGAAGTTGTTTTCTTCATTGGAAAAAGAATTCGGGCAGCTTTTCTTCGATATGCTTGGTAAGTTTCCTGTAAACCTAATGGCTTACTGATTTAGTTAACCTTCAAATACTTATAAAAAGATATGTTTTCATCTCTTTTGCTTTTCATGCATAGTTTTTTGACAAATGGTTTTGCTTTTGATGTTGGGTTAGTTGACAATTTGTAAAGAAAAGTCATGATAGAAACCAAAAAACAATTGACTTTAGCAAATTGTTCTCATATATTTCGCCTATTTTTGGGCCTTTAGCCCTTCATCATTGCAAAATATGACCAACAGAATAATAGGCTTCATGATGTGTATAGTATTTACAACTTCGATCCAAAAGTCATCATCTTTGAAGTGTCGATTGCCTGTCCAATTTGTCTAGTGTGTTCATCGCCTTATTTCTCCCAATTTCTCCACGAATTCCGAGCAATTGTTGTAGACAGGGCTTCTCTATAAGTGATTAACCGCTTTAACAAAATATTATGAGACGTAAATTGAGTTTTTGCAACCTTTAAAAGCTCTAACTTTGAATAGTCCCTAAAAATGGCTAAAGGTTGTACATGGTTTAAAAAATATTTGACAATCATTTTCCCTTTTTTATATGTGTCATTTAGCCAAATAAACTCACTTGCAAAGTCTTTAAAAATCAAGTTCAATGTATGAACATAACACTTTGACCAAAAAATGTGATTGTATACCTTTTCGACTTTTATTCCTGCAACTTTACAATTAATGTCATTGTTCGACTGTTCGACACGACACTGAGAACATTACTTGGGCCAACAAAATCAATCCCTTCGCCTAGAAATTCAACAATTCTGTGGCATACATGAACATAAAACGTGGCTATTTATGGCAAGACCATTGACTAATGATTTATGTTTGATGTTTGTCCAACAATAAGTTATTATAGAAACAGAAATCCCGTGTGAATACCATGTATATTTAAATGGTGTTATTGCATTTACCATTTCGTGAAATTGTGAATTACGCAAAACGTTAAAAGGAATCCTGTTTGCACATAAAGCCATCATATGTTAAAAATCAACCGCAATTCTCTCAATTATGGCATCACGAAGCCTATTTTTCTGCTAGTCAAATTTATGCGACGGTGAAGGCTCCAAAATAGGTGAAATATATGAGATAATGGATAGTATATTGGGGGGGATATAAAAAATGTGACAAAAGAAAGTATATATGCTTCGTATTTCCTAAAGCAGAGCAAATTATATAAAAAAGGTGAGAGAAAATGACCATAACATTACATTGTCTGGGATTTGCTTTTTACTCTGCAATTTTACGACACACGTTATCTTGAAACGTTAGCATCGAGTAGAATACATAGAAAACCACCTAATCTTGATAAAGAAGTTGTACAATGTGTTATGGAAGCTTTTAAATGCATTTCTTTAAATAGAGACGAAGAATGGATGTTGTGAGAACAATTAGCTACATTTCACATGAAGAAGATTCTTTACACATTACCAACAACTCAAATGGAAGTGGTTATAACGGAAACAATTGATTGGTGGTCTACTTATTGGCCCAAAAACACCATTAGCTAAGTAAGTGGCAAAAAAATGTTGTCACAACATATAAGCGATCTTTTAGCCGATAGAAATTGGAGCACTTATTCTTTTATCCATAATGTAAAAAAAAAATCAGCTAAACTGTAAAAGGGCTGACAAACTTGTTTTTGTTCAAAGTATGACCACTATCGGGTAAACATCTATTAGTTTAACCGATTAGTACGGGTGGGGTTGAAGTGGTGCATGATGGATGGGGCTGTTATGTCTGTTATTTTTGCTTTCAACTCTTTTATGTAAATGGTCCCCAAAGTTTATATATGATAATGTAACAGAAAAGACAAAATGAGGGGGTAAAGTTGTCATTTTACTTGCGGCTAATGGATAGGGATAGATTGGTAACAACAAAAAGAACTAAATGTTGAAAGTCTGATTAACATGGATCTTTTAATGCAGAAATACGATTGTCACATGGGTGCATCAACAAATTCTTTAGCCACAACGATTAGAAAAACAAATTCTTCTACACAAAATTCAGGAGATTCAATGGCTATTACAGATGAACATACACTCTTGTTGATTTAGTTATTTTACTAGTATAATGTGCATACATGTTAGATCATGAATTTAAGTTCAACAACACCAGCAAAGATAGTGGTCACGACAATTGAATATCATGGCTGCTTTTTTTTTTGAGCCAAGTATTTTTATATTTTTGGTTTTCATCTCTTTGTAAAAATATGTTTATTAGTACTTGTCAACATTTAGGTTTCGTCGTTTATGAATTAGTAGAGTGTAAATTGATTATTGATTTGGATTTGGAAAGCAATGATAATTGGTCTAACAACTACAAACTACATTGATACTTGATTAAAAAAAATTCGTGTGAACTATTTTTTTTTTTTTTTTTGGTTTCTTCCTTGGCATAAAAACAATTTATGGTTTAAATTTACCCTAATTTATGGGAAACATTCATAGATCTCAAGAAACAAAATCCCAAAACTCGAAATTGAATTTGAAAAGAATCGAAACAAAAACGAGAAATAATGGTACTACCAATGAGGATGAGGCGTTTATCGGGCTTGGATGAGCAATTGGGTTGGTGAAAGGGTCAGTCATGATGTCCAAATTCCAATGATACGAAGGTGCATTTTAATTCACAAAATATCTTATTATTTAGTAAAATCAATCGAAAAATTTACAAAAAATGAAACAGTTTCCTGTTTACATTTATTGAAATACCAAGTTGTTCTAGTTAAAATTTACCCTAGTTTCAGAAATCCGACACTAGCAACTTCAATAATATATTAGTGCCAAATCCGCGCATGTAGTACCTAAGAAACTAACACCCCAAACAAGAAGTTGAGACTAATTAAACATTTTCATTTCATTACATGATCCTTGTGGTTTCATTTTATTGGGTTTTTGGTCCCGACCTAATGCAATCATTGATTCGGGTAAGGTAAAATAGAAGGAAGAATCTAGAGGATAAGATGATAAATTAAGCAATTGACATAAACTAGGTGAAAAGATGGAGTGAATGTAATAGTAAATGCAGAAATGGGAAGAAAAGGAACGTTTGATAATCAATGATGAAATAAACAAGGACCACAATGACACTGGGGAGTAGACTTTCTCTCGGTCTTTTATTCTATTATTAGGCAAATCTCCGTACGTTGCGCAAGATTTTAATTTCATGACATAAATATTAGAATTATATATCATTTAAAACAATATAATATCATTTAGGTCTTAAGTTGTTGTATTAGGCAGTACACTTGGATATATTTTTAATGTCTCATACAGAAATAGTGTTTATGATTTGCATATGACATAATATCCTATGATGTTTGCTAACGGATATTGTTTTAGATTATTTAGTTATCAATTGGTATCAAACTTATTATAAATCAAGTTTATGGCTTGGATTTGTCTTTTTCGTAGGATCTAAAATTTGGCTTTTTGTATTTAGTTAAAATACGTTATCACCTTCGGCTATACTGAGAATGTGATTGTTGATGTTTATATTCGCATGTACGGATTAGTTTCAAGAAGAATACTATGGAAAGAAATTAGAGAATTATGTCACAATTAAACTTTAATGACCTTATATATGATTTATTTTGGTTAAATTAGTTTTAAATAATGTTGAACATTAATAGTTGGTTAAGTACTATAGTTGGTAAATAATAATTATTAGTATTTGAATAAATAAAAAAGTCTTTATTTGCTTAAATAACTTGTTTTTAGAAATTTTTTTTAAATTGAATAACATAAATAGTAGATGACCATATCGAGTGATTTACGAAATGGATATGTTCGTGTATTCACATTAATATTTATAAAAGTTAATGAAAAAAACATGCAATTTTGCATTGAATCTAGTTTTTCTAAGAATATATATATATAATATATATATATATATATATATATATATATATATATATATATATATATATATATATATATACACACACACACTAGTAGAATACCCGCACGATGCGGCGGTGACGATTAGTTTCATTCCGGGAATTGGTTTCCAATTGAAAGTTAGATTCATTTAGGCGGTCATCAAGTTGTTTCCTTTTGATTTGTTTAATTTCAAAGATTTTTTCCTTTTGGCGATTAGCTGTCTATAGACGGGCTTTAAATAGTATTTCCCATTTATTACCCTTCTTTCCGCATATAGTAGTAAGTCGATGATTTTGGTTAAGATAAAACCACATTCTTTTTTATATTAAAAATAAAAGTATGGTGTTGCCTTTATAATTTCGTTAATCACTTATGCAGAGACAACTTTTATTATTTTACATTAGGAAAAGAAAAGTCGATAAAACCAAACATCAATTTAGAAGTGGTGATTAAAAATATACAAATAGCAAGAACATTTTATGGAACAATTTTTTTTTATGTAAGACTGGTTTGTTATATGCAACCATGTGCAACACACACCTTGTAAATTTATACATCCTACCAACACACACCTAGTAAATTTACACATCCTACCAACACACACCTAATATATTTACACAACGTGTTGCAAGCATCCACTTTTCATTAGAATCTGTGGTGATAAACCACCTAAGCCGCCAACCAGGAACGATATCATTAGAACCCATAGAAAACATGCGTGAAAGTCCCTAGCATATCCACGAGGATGGTTCAATATTTCTCTAATAGCTACAATTGACTCTCTCCTAGGAACAAAACATGATGCAATTAATAATCAAAGATAGCAATAAACAATTATATTTGATGAAAAACTGAGAAAGACGCTACTCGTCGTTGAAATCAGCCTCAAATCTAGAAGTGGTGATAAGAAACACTTGCTCAAGGACAGGTTTAGTCTTTAGTGTCTTTAGTGCAAACTTGCACAAAACCTGAACATTGTAGCCAAGAATAGTGTAAGTTAGTAACTTAAAAACCTACAAGGATTCCATATTAACTCTAAACGATAGAGAATAATGGTTATTCTTTCATATTCAAACACTTCATTCAGAAAAACAATATAGAAATAAGGCATACTTGTATAGTTTTTATAATATACGCACAATCAGATCCACCACATTTACAGTATCTTCTTTCACTTCTTTTCAGTTATTGCAAGTATGCAATCCAAACAATAATATAAGAAAAGGAACAAGCCAAGATATAAAAATAACCATAATTCATGTGTCATATTGGTACATTAGAATGACTTAAATACTATATAAAATAAACATAACAAACAACAACTAAAATATTGAAGTAAACATTGTAATTATGTGATTTTTCACACTAAAATGACCAAAACCAAGCACATACTTAACAGAACGACCAGACCAGCTGTTAGTCATTCAAAACATTCCCCAAGCATCAGTAGTTCCATCTTTTAGGTTTACTTTTGATAAAAAATATAACAATCATATGTTTTCAGTTTTAACCATTCAAATAATAATAGATTTGCTCATGAGTAGAAAATCAGGTTTCACAAATATGTGCACAATAGACTTGGGAAAGTGTCAGTTTTGGGTTTTTAAGATACAATTTTTCTGCATGTTTTCATTACAGTATCATACATTCAAAGTTTCTAATAAAACCCTTGTGATGAAACCCTATGACATATCAAAAATCTAAACATTTTTCTACAATAAAGAAGCAAATTGATATAGGAGTCTATTGCCATAAAGCATTACCTTGAAAATCTGGTTTTGCATTTACTCTTGTTGTATCCCCATAAAACATATTACCAATTTCTTGGACCTGATGATGCATAACAAACCTACATGTTAGAATATTTATTAAAGCCTTTTGTTACATTAAAAAGGTAAATTACCATTGAAGCATTTTATAAACCGAATAAGATCTATGATAATTCAATTGTATTGGAAAAATTATAGGTGACTTTCTACAAAACATTTTATAAACCGAATAAGATCCGATTTCCCAAATATCCCACATCATAATATAAGCATGGAAATTTAATGATTGATGCTAAATTTCACAAAAGCATATGATTCAAACAACAAAAATCAATAATTCTCAAAATCTTCTCAGAAATACACATTAAATTCAAAACTTATTATACTTTATTAAACTTGATGATTTAAAAACTCAAACTATGAGGGTTAGATTCAAGATTAGTAAAAGAGAGAAAAAGAACCTTGAGAGGTAAGCAATATACAAGATCTATTATACTTTTTTATTTATTTATTTATTTATTTATTTTTTTGTAACATTACCCTCTTCATCCATCGGGTAAACATATCATTATTTTTGCACAACCAAAATTAAATGTCTAAAATTTTTTGGTAAAATATATGAAGAAAAAACAGGGCTTAACAGTAAAAAGTACAATAAAACCATCTGTGAACAAAAAAGAAATGCATTAAAAAAGAATACAAAAATCATGGAATCTTGTAAAATTACATAAAAGCTTAATACATTTCAACATCTATAAGCTTTTTTGTCCTATTTTGATACATTCAACATCATATGCTTGTCTTTCTGCACCATATTACTATTTGTTCTATTTAAAAAATATAATTACAAATAAATAGAACTCGAAATATATCTATTGTGAGTTGTTGTTATTAATTTTGTCTGAACCTAGACGACATAAAATAAACCAAAATAAGAACCATAATAAACACAAAATATTAAACAAAAAGCACATGTTTAATTGTTACTTCTCGTTTCGATAACAAAAAGAGTGAGATAGAGGAGATCTGGCTCCATATTTATCCATGGAGTGTATATGTGAGAGAAAGAGAAAAACTATGGTCAAGTCTAAAATAATTAACCCAAAACTGCCATCCATATGAACTTGTTTATTTGAAAAGAAAGTCTGAATGAAAAAGTATACCTGATTATATACAAACCTTAGATTGAGGCAGACCTGAAAGATGGTGGTTGTTAAGAGTGACACATTAGGCTTAGATAGATGGGTTAATGGCAGCAACGAAGTTGGGTTGTGATGTAGGAGAGCAACGAAAGAGGCGACATCAGCTGGAAGAAACCACCTGCAATCCACCAGGAAGACAAAAACCTTTGAAATCGACCAATAAATCTTAAAAAAACATTAAAAATCGCTAAAATTAACCTGAAATTTTAGCAAATGCTTGTAAGTATGTAGTGCTCGCCTCTTGTTTCTTCAAGAGAGAGAGAGAGAGAGAGAGAGAGAGAGAGAGAAAGAGAGAGAGCTAGATGAAGATATGCGAGGCGGGTGAGTATGCATAGATCGAGCAGGGGAGACAGCTGCAGTCGTCGTTTAGGGTTTCCAGATCCAAGCGAGTCTAGGGATAAAGTTTTTTGGTGGAGAACTGGTGGTACGATTGCAGAGCCCTGGTGGTTTGGTGGTTCGTTGGTGAGAGGCAGTTGTGCCAATGTTGGTGGTTCAAGGGTTTTTGTTTTTCAAGAGCTAGAGAGATAGAGAGAGACAGAGAGAGAGAGAGGGTTGCAGAGGGATGGTTTATGTATGAGAATGGGGAGAGATTCAAAATTTGAAATCGGGTTTATGTGTGAGAGTATGAGAGCATGGTTGAAATTGATATTAAGATAGGTACAACCTGTCGTTGACCGGAGAGGGCAGACAACCTGTATTTTATTGTATGCCATGCTTTATAAGTTATAATTAAGACTAAAAAAACATATGTTTTTATAATATAATGTAGATTTTATAAAATACTTGATTTTGATTGGTTTAAATCTATTGACATGGATCACTATCCTAACCATTGAATGAAATCCAAAAACCAAAAATTCATCTCCTTGTTTTTAAGACTTTGATCTTAAAAAATGCATTATCCATGTATTATAACTAATGCATGATTCAAAGATTAACTAATGCATGATTGAATATTTACTTTAGAATGTTAGTCAATTTACAATTTGTATGCCATATATTTAAATTTATGATTGAACATTTTATAGGTTTTCATTGTTAATTTTTATATTTTTGCCCATATTTGGATTTTATTTGAAAGTTATTAAATGGAAATAATATTTTGGCGGATATATTATATATAATATATGTTTTACTATTAATTATATAATACCTATAAAATAAAATATGTTTAGATAGAAAGTTTCATATGTTTCGCTTTTATCTTGATTTAATAAAGTAATTAATAATCACTATTATAAAGCATTTAAACATTATTGACTTTCAGTAGTAAAGCCGAAAAAATATTAGTATAATAAGTATTTTTTATATGATTCTTGAACCACATTAATATAATAAAAATTAGTTAATTGTACTTGATAGCATCCCATAGGATCACGTCAGACGGTGACACCTAGGGAACCACGTTGAAGATTGGGCGGGAGCGATCCCGTGCCAGCTAGGAAGGCTACACCCAGGAAGCCTTTCAGAGACTTTCCCCAGCCTAGCACATGATGGTAAAGCCTCTTAGAGACAAAATAGAGTTATTCAGCAACCTTAGTGGTGCATGCACCACCAATGCCTTGTTTGAATCAATCACAACCCATGGCAAAGGGCAAAGGACATTCCTTCCAATGATGTCGCCCCGTATCATGGTTGCCATTCTTGTCCCCCTAAAGGCAAGAGTGTCGTTCATGTCAACTATATAAAGCTAACAATCACCTTGCCTGGAGGAAAGTTCCATTTCCATTTACACCTTCTCAATATACTTTCCCATACAAAGACTGACTTGGTTGTCGGAGCATCCTTGTAATGTCCCAAGTTTCAACATAAAATTTTCATTTTTATTTATTCAAATATATCAGAGTATAATTACATTATGCGGAAAACATGATGCGAATGCGTGTGTGTACAATTGATTATTGCCCTTCTCACGAATCAATGAAGTAGCTCAAAAACATTTATAATAAACTGGGAAAATGCAAAGCTTAGTGAGTTTCCCAAAATATCATATCTCATAATACATATACAATGCATACACATAATGGAAACTCACTAATAATGGCTCACGACCTTTCACCAATTCACCAGTAATACACATAATGACCTTTAGCATAAAGTTGGTTCGCCTTTTTGCCTTCATTATAAAGCTGGTTCGCTCTTCAACATAAAGTTGGTCCGCTACTTGGCCTTTAGCATAAGACTAATCTGTCTGAGTCTATTGGCCTTCAGCACGAGGCTGGTCTACCTTCAACTGCCTACATAATATATCAACACATATATAGCAGACAAATAGTCTAATACTACAAGCAACTAACAAAACTATCCTTATTGCTAGGGATGGCAAATCGGGCGTCGAATTTTTTCTGATACGTCACGACACGACAATATTTTATGTAGCATAAACACGACATGACACGGTGTCTTGTTTTTTTTAACTAACACAAAAACGAACCTATTAAAAACGACACGACAAGACAAAGATAAAAAAATATAAATTATATTTTTAATTAATAGTTAATAATATATAACATGAAAAACATGAAAAAAAACGAAAAACACCACACAAAAATTGTAACAGCCCAAAGATAGTACTAAAACATTTCATTTAAAAACCATTAGTTTTCATTCATTGATTGTATCAATTATCAAAAGCCACCATTTATTAAAATATTACAAAACATCAGAGTACAAATACATCAAGTGCAGAAATCATGTGGGGATGATGATGTGCCAACACGTGGTTGTGTTAGGTCCGTATCAACCCCCGAGTCTGTATCAACCTAAAATAACAACATATAGTTGTGTTGGGTCTGAGTCATCCCCAAGGTCCGTATCAACCCCGAGTCCGTAATGACTCCGAGAGCGTCGTGCATGTCAACTATATAAGGCTAACAATCACCTTCCCATGAGGTAAGTTCCTTTTCCATCTACACCTTCACAACACACTCTCCTATACAAATACTAACTTGATCCTCATAGCGTCCTCCTGGAAACTCCTCCTGGAGAACAGATGGCGACTCTTTTTCTATGTTCTAGAGCTCAATTACTAAGCTGAAGACCGACCAGATCATCCTATAGTACCACTTCACATCGCGTATTGAAGGTTTAATTAAATATTACAACTTTTCAAATTTCAAACAAAGGTTATTTAACATTAAACCACCAAGTATAACTTATGAGAAATTAATTGATACTTATGAATTTTAATTAAAGATAATTTTAATAGTTATATTGTTTTTAATTAATTAAATGGATAATGTGATCATCTAATATCTCGATAAAAAATACTATGTAAAAAACCTCAAAAATTACATTAGGGAACTTAATTATATATGTCATATATTTTTGTGTGTATTATTTATATAAAATAATTTGTATAAGACTATGAGTTATTATATTCAATCTTATTAATAATTAAATGATTTATCCAGAACTAAAAATGTTGGTTTATGCATTTTAGTTCCTTAATCATTGGCATTTTTTGTATTTTACTTTGATGTTTTTGAATATTTTTATTTAAAATGGTCATACTAATGTGCCAAAACTCAAGTTTCTATTAAGATCAACATTTTAATCAAATCATATAGAAAGACTAAGGTGTTAATACATCAAAGTTTTATTTTAATATTGCAACTTTTTAAATTTTAGATAAAAATTATTTAGAATTAAATGGATAGAACTCAAAAGATTTACTTTACTAATGGTACTGAATAAATATTTATGAGACTTAATTAAATACTAAAATTTTGTTTAGTCATGTAAATAAATAATATGATCATCTAACCTTTAGATAACAAAATTTATATAAAAACTTTCAATCCACTATTAAAAACATAATTATAAGCATATACTATTTTGTGCATATTATTTGTATAAAATAAATTATATAAGACTATGAGTATTTATATAGAGACTTTCTATTTAAAATCTATAAATAAATAAAAATATTGATTCACTATCAACTTAACTACATTAATACTTAAATGATGTATTTACAACTAAAAGGTTAGTTTAAGCTATTTATTTTATAATTTATTCTCATTTTCTCTTTTGTATTTTACTTTAATGTTTTTTCATTTCCATTTTCTAAAATGCCATACTATCCTTTCAAAACTTAATTTCATTTAAAGTTTATTTATATTAAAATTATATACTACATTGAATATTTAATCAAATAATAGAATTCTTTAAATTCCAATTATGGTCCTTAGTTGATTTTTATGGTGATTAATTAATACTTATAAGATTTAATTAAATAAGATAGAAATAGTTAATTATATTTATTCAGTTAAATTAATAATATGATCATGTAATATCTTCATCAATAATTATGTCAAAAACATCCAAACTCACTAATAAAAAAGTTATTTTAGGCTATTAATTGATTAAAAAAAACTAAAATCTTGAATTTTCATAGCACATTACCGGTTATCATTATTAATATGTCAAAACTAGAATTTTTATTAATTTCTTTTATTAATGTTATATACAAATACAAATATGTTTCTAGATATGGTTAGTGAATTTTTATAATACTTTCAAATCATAAAGTGTTCATAAAAAAAAACTAAAAACAAAAACAACAGGAAAATCTAAAATAGACTTTAATGCAAAGGATCCAAAAGAAGGATTTTTAAAATGACTAATTATTTATATATATATATATATATATATATATATATATATATATATATATATATATATATATATATATATATAATTTTTCACTACTTATTGATGTTATGTTAGAAAAATATAAAAGTCAAGATTATATATATATATATATATATATATATATATATATATATATATATATATATATATATATATATATATATATATATAACCGTAAATTTTCGGACAATCCACAAATGTTAAAATATATTCATAATAATACATATGGATTATAAAAATGCCTCTAACTTTTCTTATCTTTTTTGTACTATTATAACATTATTATGTAATTAACCATTTACTTTATGAATAAAAAAAAAGTAAATAATCAAACATCATGAAATATAATTTAACTTAGGTGATATTTCGCAGTTGACGTAGTTATAATTAAAATACTAATAAATCTATGTTATTAAAATAAACATATTCTTGTTAGTAAGTTTAAATTAATAATTTTTA